GGGGGGGGGGGGGGGGGGAGTAGAAAGACAGCGAGAGGAACAGAGCGCGTGCCCCCTCTTTGAGTCGTGTGCACGCATGGCGATCGAGGAGGTGGGGCTTCTACCCGATCAAGCACATACGCACGGTGTGCACGTAGCAGAGGAGCAGTTGGTGCAGCTGTTCTAACATATGCATGTGAGTCTAAATGCCGCGGGTGGTGCGAGAACTCCTAAATCCTTCCACCCCGAAGATACGGAGTGAACGAACGCGCGCGCGCCACAAGCTAAGCGCCGAACGCACAAAGCATCGCAGAAGGCAGTTTGGGGCACCTTCGTTCAGCAAAAGCCGAACCGAGTATGTTCGAGCATTATAACAGGAAACCCCGGGAGCGTGCTTGGCTGAGCGTACTCACGGTCCTGCGGGCGCATGAACGTAGAAACGTTCTTCAAATTTAGGATGCGGCGCGCATCGAGTTTAGATGTAGGAGCCCGGAGCGAAGAGAGACACTAGGTATCGGCATGAAACCGGGTTAAATTATCGTTTCCTAAGAACAAGCAAGACGACGAGGATGAGGTAATGGGCGACAGGAACCACCACACCGGGTAGCTGCCGCCGTCGTGAGCACGGCCGTTTGCTAGCCCAAGAGGGAACGGGAACAAATGCAATGACGCGCCTTCTTCTGTACTACAACAGCTGGAGGCAAGACGTGCAGGTCCTATGTTACGGCGCGTGTTTCCCTCTCGCTGCAAGCAGTATTGCCTCCTGCGCTGACCTCGAGCGATGCTATACGACTGGCGGTTGGTTGGGTTCGTCTCAACTGCTGTGCCATAGAGACATCTGTCCTTGTGGGGCTGACTTCGGGTTCCGGAGTCGTTGTGTTTTTCGAACATTATGATTGGCGGTGAAGGGTCGAAAGTACGGCAGCCCGATCGCGAAACGAGGTACGTGCAAGAATAAACCGAACGGGGGCACAGCTTGTATAGAATACGAAGTGATCATGGGGAAATGAAGTGGCTAAAAGAATTTCGGCCGGACGGGGCTCTGAAAGAAGTTGTGCCCGGTGCCCGTTCTGTTTCCAGTAAGATGGGCCGAAATATTTTCTAAGGACAACCAGAGGCTGCAGAAGTAGCAGCGGTACGTGAATCCCCTCAGTCCTCCACCCACCCACGCCCCCCCCCTGAACAACGTTCCATTTTTCAGTTGGTGGCGCTCCGGCCAGCAGTGCCACTGCCGCTGCAGCGGGTGCAGGTGCTGCTAGCCCTGCTGCCGGGGTCACCAAACGCAAAGCTTCGGCGCTGCAGCACCAGCCTCAGCACGGTCACTATCACACCCAAGACCTTCCCCCTCCCCAGAGGAGCAGCAACCCCGAGCAGCGGAGCAACCCCCTCATGAACCCGGACATCCTCAGCCACCTAGCGGGCTTCGTCTCTGACGACGAGTACCTGTTGGTGGCCGGCGTCTCCCGCTGCTTGGGCCAGGTCTGTGCTTTGAGCAGTGCTGCCGGTGACCGGTGTAGTGGCGGCCACCAATGATCTGGGCCAAGGGGCCCCTCGTGTGGAAACCATGGAAGGCCCCCGGATTATGTGTCAATCTTGGTCGCGAGGGGGGGAGGGGGGGGGGAGTGGAGCCCTTCCCCGGGGGGGTAATTTTGACCATATCCCCGGGGTTTCGACATTCTTCGCGCACTATTTTCAGCGCCCGCACGGGATCCCATACGGAGCTAGCGGAAATTATGGAACACCCCAGTCTACGCCTCAATCTTGGTCACGAGGGGGGGGAGGGGTTCTATCGTACGGCATAGGATTTAGTATGGCCATTCTAGGGTCTAAACAATAAAGAGTGTTTTATGGGCTTTAGGATGCGACACGAAAACCTGTACAATGGAGATTATTTTGGTTTTTATGTTGACACACATATTCCTGTACAGTAGACTGCTGCAAGTGAGCCCCGCAATGTGGCTATCCTGCGTGTCACTCTTGGTCCAGGGGGGGGTGGTTCCACGGTTTCCACTTGTAGGGCCCCCTTTCTGGGCATATACCGGCACTCAGCAGCCCCCGCCCCCCGCCCCCCGCCCCCCCCGTCTGTAGGTCTGGCGGCGGCTGAAGCCGAAGGACATCCGGCGTTACGGCCGACACCACCGCGAGCCTGCTCGCCCACAGCTTCAGGTGCGGCCTGGAGCGGCGCCTGTCCGTGTGCCTGGCGGCCGCGCGGCTCGGGCGGCTGGACCTCCTCAAGTGCGCCCGCGCCCACGGGTGCCCCTGGGACGTCGTCGTGGCCGACGAGATCGCCCTGAGGGGCTTCGCCGAGATGCTGCGGTGGGCGAGGTCCGTGGAGGTACACCCGTGCCCGTGGAACGCCGGAACGTGCGACCTAGCGGCCGAGGGGGGCCACATGCCGCTCGTAAGGTGAGGCGACGGGTGGGACGGGGGTAAGGTGGGTACAGTATGGGCGGGATCTTATTTTTTTCTCTCTCTCTCTCTCTCTCTCGCTCTCTCCTTCTGTGTCTGTCTTTGTCAAGAAGAATTAGGCTTTAATCGCTACTTCGTCGTTGTAGGTCTCTCTCTGGTTAGGAGCATTTTTTTTCCCACGAGGTCTTTCTGCGCCACCCTCCATCTTTGCTCGTTCTGGCATCATCGCACGCAGCAGGTTGCGGACGACGGGAAACGTTAGCGTAGGATGTACAGAGAGAATTTTCTGATGCACGAAGATGGAAATAGGACTGGGAAAAACAAAGTGTCATGGGATCTATCCTCGAGGCCCTTGTCAGAAACATGTCATAGCCTCAACGCCTGAGACAAACGAAAAAATATGAGAGAAAAGAGCCTCGCTTCCCCCACAAGTGCAAATAATTCCTGGTAGTGTACGCGTGCCAAACCTACCGCTACATTCCCCCCCCCCCCCCCCCCCCCCCCCCCCCCCCCCCCCCCCCCCCCCCCCCCCCNAACCAACTCACTGCCACAAAAAATGAAAAGGTGGATGAGGTCGAAGGATTGCCCTTGCAGCCCCCGCAAGAGCGCCGGTATCGCGCGCACGGCTGGCCTCGCCCGGCAGATCAGCACGTACGCCCAACAACAACAACAACAACAACAACAACAGCAAAGAAAACGATCAAGCACAACAAGACATGACAACAACAATGACAACGAAGAAGAAAAACGAACCACACAAACAACAACGACAACAAAAGGGTTCCTAACCAATCGCGGGTCAAGCCCTGTCAGCAGAGAAGAACACGCAGAAGAAGCAACACAAGACACAACAAGAAAGCAACATCATCCACAGCAACAACGAGAAGCCTGCCCCCCCCCACAACACGCCTGTGCGCATGTCGTCGGCCCCCACGAACACCCCGTGGCCCTCAGCCACTTGAGCACGCGCAGGTGCCCCCCCCCTCGCCGCCTCCGCGCACGTCTGCTGCGACCACGGGCAGCCTTCCCTTCGAGCCCATTGCAGCGTGTCTAGCTCCCCCCGGCGAGCGAGAGCGTTGCAAGTGCTCTCGTCCCAGGGGCAGCCCGGGCCCAGTGGAGGACGTTATACTCCTTGGGTGTCTTTGTTTCTGTTGATGATGATGTCGTTGTTGCTGTTGTTTGTTTCGCTTCGTCTTGGTGTTCTTCTCTGCTGACACCGCCTCGCCCTCGAACAGATGGCAGCACACACGGATCCATGCATCACGCCGGCTACCCACCCGTCTCCACCCGATGCCGCGTCCCTTCGCAAACGCAGGCCGCCTTGGGAGGTCACCTCCGCATCCTGTAGTGGGCCCGGGAGAACAAGTGCAAGTGGAACCACCAGACGACCGCAGCCGCGGTGACGGGAGGGCACCTCGACATCTTGAAGTGGGCTCGTTCTGAAGGGTGTCACTGGAAAGCGAAGAGCTGCAGCCAGGCTGCGAGGTGGGGCCGTTTCGACCTCCTCAAAGTAATACAGCCTAGAATACATTGCCTTTCGTTGTATTTTTTTTTTTTTTTTTTC